TTCACACTTGCTCCACTGTCTCGTTTAATCCACCGACACCCATATCATATCAATGCGGCTTCTTCGGGTTACAGTGTTTCCCCAGAAAGTAAAGGCCCTCTCTTGTGGGTGCAATGTTCTGTAGGAGTCTGTGCATCCAAGGCCTGACATTACGTTGAGCAGGGCCATAAATCTACAAGTGAGTTAAAGTCACCTGCTATTATGAGGTTGTCAATATCCGGGACTAGCGTTTGCAGGCGTTCCCACATCCGGCGCCGTGTGCCCATCTCTGTCGGCCCATATATTGTAACCACCCCCCAAGTCGTTTCCCCCCATTTGAGCACCACCCAGGCCCATCTACCCCTAGAGTCATAGAACCAGTCTGTAACTTCTCCTCTAAAATTGCGGGGAGATAAGAATACGGACTCCTCCCCTTGTGCCCTGCGCCGGGGCCCAGATCTGGTGGCCCTTCCACCATAAAATCGGTTCCACCGGTTCCACCGTTTTAGCCTCGTTCAGCTTAGTCTCCTGTAGGCACACAACATCTATCTGTTCCGCTTTCCCTTTCCTCGCAAACTCCCTTCGCTTGGGCAGTAGTGAGTGAGCCCCCAAGCCTCTCACATTCCAAGTCAGCAGTTTCAGCCTGTTGCAATTTTTCCATGTTTGCATCACCCTCCCTTCCCCTCTACCACCCCCTTCTACCGTTTACTTCTTCCTACGTCCAGATTATGCATCCTAAATTTGTAAAAATATTATCGTCCTCTATTATTTGCTGGGGGGGTGTCTACGTCCTTGGGACACCCATTCAAGATAAGTATATACCATATTTCCTAACCTTCCCTATTCCTTCCCCTCCTTCCCCCCGTTCCCAAATACCGGTTCCTTTTTGGAACTGCTCTCCCCCCACTTGTTCGTCCTGTGGCAAACGCTCATTAACACTGTTAAGCACAGCCAAGGATGTTGCATGTATCAGATGATAGTCTTGAGGGAGGGCCGTGCGGCCATAGGCTTCAGCAAATCGTATCCAATGCATGCTTCTCGTTCCTAGCCTCGGGGATCCTGGCCTCCTGGGGATAGCTTCCATGAAATATACAAAAATGACATGCTCCTCCCCATCCGTGGTCTGTCTCACGAATCGTGATGCTGATTTCTGAGGCAACGCCACCACCTCATACCTTGGGCCCAGCCATTCAGTCACCTTCTTGAGTACTTGCTGTTCCTGAGGTAGGCGAGTCACTCCGAAGGTTGGTACCTCCGTCGCTCCCTCCAGGAGTAGTCTGATTTCCTCTGGCGCCCGCCATAAGACGATCGGGCAGACGTAGCCCTCTCCTGCCTTCAGTACGTCATCCAACCTAGCCCCCACTCGCTCCTGCCGTGCCAATCTCTCCAGCTGATTCTCAGGTTGCTGTCGCTGTTGCCTTTCCTGCTCCTGCGTGCTCCTGTTCTCAATGCTTGTTGATTCCGCTGGTATGGCTCTTTCTTCCGACCCCTGCCCCTGCGCTGTATGTCGATCCCCTTCTGATGATCGCTCCTGTTGCTGCTGCCCTGCAGACTGGTGAGCAGACTGTTGGTCCTCCCCCAGGCTGTCCGATGTCTCTGTTGTTGAGGACTCCGACGAACTCTCCTCCTCTTGGCTGCTTGTCTGTTCCCCCACCCCTTCAGCTGGGAGTCCAAAGCTTGGTTCTCTAAGAGGGACCGATCCCGATGGTGGTGGCGATTTGTCCCTTTTTCCTTTCCCTCTGAACGAGTACCTTGGTTCATACCCCTTGGTTCCCAAGGGCGATCGCTGTCTTTCCCTTGTATTCTTCAGCCTCGTTCGTGAGGTTTCCAATGAAGTCTGCCGTCCCGAGGTCGCATGACTCGTATGTTTCTCGCATTTCAATGTTGCTTTGCTGGAAGAGAAAGTCAGGACTGGGAAACATCCGGCTGATGACGAGTTCTTCAAGGGTCCCGCAGTCACCTGTTTTTGCCTACGCCAGTATTTTAACGGTGAGCGATCCATCGGGATCTGATCTGCTATAATTGGCGTTTCATACACCGGCCTTCCCGGTTGCTGCCGTGTGCCCGACTCCCCGAAGCTGTCCTGCTCGCCTCTCTGTTCAACCTGCCCTTTCTCTTCTCTTTCCTTTCTATCATGCACTTCCTGCCCCTCTTCTGTCTGTGTTTCTTCCCCCCTCTCACTTTCTCCACCTTGACCCTCAGACTCTACACCCTTCTCTCCTCCTTCCCCTCCGTCAGCATCCTTCCCAGTCTTTGTGCCTTGTTCCCCCTGCTGTCCGTGAGTTCCCTGGCTGATCGTTTCCTCTTGCCCTTTTTTCTGCCGGCTGCTCTCGCCCCTTTTTTCGGCCACCCAGGTCCCCTTTTTTGACTCTTCCCCTCCCTCGCCCTCCTTTTCTGCCTTTGCTGACTTCCCCTCAGCATCTTTCTCCCTTAGATCCCCTCCTGCCCCTTGGTCTTGACTTGAGCTTGTCATTTTGGGTCCTCTCTCTTGTTCCGGCACCTGTTCGGCTTTCCTTTTCCGTTCTTCCCCAAAGCGCCACTGCGGATTGTCGGTCTGCATGGGATCATCTCCCCTCCCTTCCCATGGCACATTCCAGCAATATCTACCTCCCCACTTGGCTGACTTCCTACGTCTCCCTTCCTGGCGGAATTGGTTTGTTGCATCCTTTCGCGTCTGCGCTGCTGTTCTGACTTCATTCAGCAGGGCCTCGTCCAACTGGAGCTCCAGCTCATGCCAGGCCTTGCTTTCGTCTTGAGGGTTTGACTGCAAGATTGGGTCCATGATACTTCTCACCTCCCTTTCGTGCAGCTCCTGCAATGTCTCAGTCGGCGTCAAACAACTTCCATGGAGCCCCATATGGCCATGCGTGAAGCACACTTCACAAAATGGTGTTTCACTCGTTACTACCCGCACTTCCTCAAAGCTGTAGGGTCCTATGGCCACCGCCACACTATTCTTCAGCGGGTTCTTCAGCGGACCATCCACAACATATCTCACATACTCTCTTTCCTCATCATCCACCAGCTGTTCGCTAACTATTGGGCCAAAAAAATATTCCACTGCTCCCCTTGTCCACTTGGCTGCCAGGAGGGAGGGTTTATATACCTTCACCCATGGTCGTTTCCGATCAAGCATGCTGGCCATGTTCATTTCTGCTGGCAACTTCCACGGTTGATATGTCACTTGGCTGTGCACTTCTGCCACGTGCAAGTCGTCCCCCTTTCTTTCATTTATGAGCGAATCCCTTAACTCGACCGTCAGCTCTTAAGTATGTGACAATCGTTTCCCCCTCTGTGTCAATTTCCCCTCGCCACGGGGCCCTCCCCAACGTCCATGCTTCCTCCATGTGTCCTACCCATTCCCGCTTGGCTTTCCGCGACCAGCCTGCTGTCCCTTCTGGCATCTTGCATGCCACTGTATGCGCCCGCATGTACGTGTTCTGCAAATACATGATTTCATTCGTTGGCCACGCCAAGCAAACTCCTCCATGCAGTGCATACTCACTCAATCCAGGCCCCTCCACCGGTTGGCGCAGCAGATATGAGCGCCTCAGAATCTGCATGAGGCGCCATCGTTCTTGTGCCATCCCCTCCATTTCCTCACCAGTTTCCCTCTCCCCCGCTTCTATGTAATGCTCCTTTCATAGGCTTTTAGCTATTTCTTGAATCAGTCTTCCCCCTCCCTCCTCCGAATTTCGTCCTATACTAGTTATCCTCCTGTCTCACTCCTTGAAATGGTTCACCATCCGTCCACTAGCTGAATCCTCTCCCACGCTTACCGGCAGTTACCTTACCGAACGCTATCGAGGACGTCCTCGCTTTATCGCCAGGTCAACCAGACCTTACAGGCTCAGTTTCTCAATTCCCGCAGTATTTTCGGCCTATCGGTTCATCAGAAGGAGCTCCTAGATCTCCCCCCGTGTGGTTTCCTCCCCTTCCAAACACCCCCTCAGCCCCTTCTCACCTTGCAGAGTCCATCATCTTCTACTCCCTTCCTACCCCCCTCTCGATATTCGTTCAGTCAGCATCATTGAGTTTTGACTCCGACGGGCCTGCCCGACGGCAATATCTGCATCGTAATCGGAGCCGCCATCACTAATCAACTTGACCCTGTGCAGTTCGGCAACGCCTCCTTGTTGAGTCCGGCGGTGAAGGAGACTTCTCGCACGGCCCTTTGTTTTGTGACACCGACAGCATCCACGTTGCATTAAGATCGGCCTTCGCGTGACGTTGGCTGAGTTTCCTCCATAGCCTATTAAGGTTGGCCTTATCCACGCCTTCGACGCCTTCTTGCTGAATCAACTTGGTCAAAGAGAGACATTCGCCGCGGTGTTTCGCCGCTCGAAGAAAAAAACTAACAAAACTACCCGCGATCACTTCGCCACGCGGTGCCTCCTTGTCGAGTCCGGCAGTCAAGGAGACTTCTCGCACGGCCCTTTGTTTTGCGACACCGACAGCATCCACGTTGCATTAAGGTTGGCCTTCGATGCTGAGTTTCCTCCATAGCCTATCAAGGTTGGCCCTATTCACGCCTTCGACGCCTTCTTGCTGAATCAACTTGGTCAGAGAGAGCCATTCGCCGCGGCGTTTTGCCGCTCGAAGAAAAAACCTAACAAAACTACCCGCGATCACTTTGCACGCGGTGTGCTAACCTGCGCTAATTTTGTGCTATAAGACTGTTCCTTTTTTTTTTTCTTTTTTTTTTTAGTGTAAACAGCGCTTTGAATAAAGTCGTGGAAAATAAATGGTGGAGGAAAATGAGGAAAAATGGAAAAGGAAAGGGATGAAAAAACGCAGTGCCCCTTCCCTTCCGCATGGGTCCTTCCCTGCCTACCTAATGGCCTGTCTCTGCTTGGTTGGGTCAGTTTGTTTCGGTGACGAGATGAGCTATGATTGGCTTTTTTGGACACTTAAGCAAGTCTCGGCAATATTTACTTCCTTTACAGAGTATGCCTTTGTCGACAAATGATGTATTATCAATGGTGTTGGCTGTTGGGCTGCATGTTTCCTGTGTTTTGCAGCAAGGGGTGGCGCAACTTGTGCTTGGCGTCTCCATTATCCGTGGCGATAATATGTATGTATGACGTTACTGGGACCCTTTATCACGCGCTGTTTGTCGTTTCCCTTTTCAGTTTGGTGCATTTTTCATTTTCTGGAAGTTCTGCTGTGAAAAAATGCAAGCGTATGGGAAGAAATTGCCTTGAATCCTCTTGTCGTCACGATCTGTTGAGATTCGGCCCTTTGTTCCAAAGGTTTAAATAATTTTGATCTGAACCCTCTTGAACATAATGGCATCCTTGGGGTTGTGGAAATCGGAATGAGATTGGAAGTCAATATTCTCACTTAAAAAACATGACATCCTTGCTATCGGCTCTGCCGCCTGTACAGGGGCCTGCTTTGTCATAAGAGAGTACCTTGGTCCATGGTCAGCCTTCACAGCTCAGTGACTACATCTTGCTAACACACAAGAAGTCCGAGAGATCAACTCATTATGAAGTAATTGGAATTGAAACCGTGACCTGCCACCGTACAGGTGAATCAGCTAACCAATTGGTAAAGTGAGCTGAGATGGATTACAATTCCTGATGTCATTTCTGTTCATCTGACAGATGGAGCCACCAATGGAAGTTCTGCTGTCAGGCTGTGGCAGATTTGTGGGAAGTGGGTTTAGCAATTCCTCTCTCTTTTCAGAACCATGCTCTTGGCCAAATATGGGTAAGGAATCTAAAGATATGTGTTTGTGGTCTGCGTGGAGGTGGGGGAAATCGAGTTGCCAACCCTTGCAAACTACCGTCTTCCCCCGAACACAATGCACCCTCATTTCGACTGTATCGGGCCGGAAACATACCTTGTATACGTTCATTTTCAGGGTGCGTTATGTTGGGGGGAAGACGGTGGAACAATAGGAAATGATGTGTCTCAAATAGACAAGCAGATAGCAAATGGCTGGGGAAAGTTAAGTTCCCTTTCTCTGCAAACAGGAACGTGTCTCTTATACACATCTAGATGTGTATAAGAGACAGCCTTGTATACGTTCATTTTCAGGGTGCGTTATGTTGGGGGGAAGACGGTGGAACAATAGGAAATGATGTGTCTCAAATAGACAAGCAGATAGCAAATGGCTGGGGAAAGTTAAGTTCCCCTCTCTGCAAACAGGAACGATGTGGAATACTTTGTCTGAAAGAAATAAGCAACTAGATAAGCAAAAGAACATTTAAAACACCAGCACTTGCCTGCTCGCCCAGAACTTCCAGTGGTACACAAGGAGGCCGCAAGTCTGATGTACCAGCCTGGCCGGGGCCGGTGCGATTCATTGGGGCGCAAAACATCTAGGTTAGGTAATTTAGGGTCCTGAAGTACTGCCACGTTAATGGGTAAAATAATGAGGCAACATAAGGAATCGGCTGAACCAAGTAAGGTTATCCAACTACCTGGTGGTGATCATCTTCTCTGAGAAACATTTTGTGCCATGCATTTGGTGGTTCTAGTCGTGTGGATGCATGTCTATGTGCATTGGGATCTAATAGTAGAGTGGTGGTGATGATTTCTGCGCATGTGAAAATGTCCCAGAATTATCAGGCCTCGTGTCGTTCTAGACGGGGAATCCAAACCATTAGTTCAAACTACCAGTACGCGACGGGCGGGATGTACCGGGGCACAAATTTCACTGGAATACATCCAGGCAAAACGGTCCTAGCATGCTACCTGTTTTGCCTGGATGGATGACGAGCGAAGAAACAGCACCCTGGTATATCCCGACCGACGCGGCAGCATGCACGCCGCCGCCTCTGAGAAAATGGCTGGGAAACGAACTGGTGGGCTCATAATTGATATACTACATCTTTTGATGGCACATGTCATACTTTTCGTTTGAAATAGGCCAGAAAAGAAAGTGCCACTGTAGTCATGTCGTGAGTTTGAGAATGTGCAAGTCTAGCGCTGGTTTAAAACCCCGCGAGTCATTAGCCGCTGTAATGAATGCAGTTTTAGGGTTGCCTTTTTTGCCATTTTTTGGGAACTGCTAAAGTTGCCCATTCTGAACATGGGGTGTGACTTGAAAGTACTTGCCCCTTTTCTTTTTCAACCCATCCGATTGATTATACGCATGGCATAGGAAGGCATATTCTTTCTCAAACTAGGGAGAACAGTCATCGTTGATCCTGTTTGGACCTGTTTGGACATGAAATATTAGTTACACAGCTGCAGAGTCTGATGTTTGGTCGCCATGTTATCAACATGGTCACTGTCAAGCCACCGCTACCTCTGAGCCTCTTTTTGCTGAGGCGGAAAGCACCTGCCGGCCAAGCTTTTCCCAAGAGCTAGAGCGACGTTTCTTTTTTTTTTTTGGCTGGTGCCGCCACCCATTTTGGTCCGGCACCCGAAGAATACGGTTTTGTCGCAAATTGGTGTTTCGAGCTTGGCTGTGGAAGGTAGTGGTGGTTCAGATCACCAGAGTCCGTAATGACCTGCGGGAATTGTATGACATGATACATGGTGTCTGCAGGATGGAATGGCCGCAACATAATTGTGGCCAACCATGGCAACATAATGGTGACCAACCATGGCAACAAAAGAAAGCTATGTATACGTGCTGTTCAGCCACTGTTGCATGGTGATCTGTGTGGTCTAGGATGACCGTCCAGCTGCACCGTCAGGGCCTTGGCCCAACAGCCGACATTCAACAATTCCAGGATCAGGCAAAGACTAGGTTCGACATTACAAGTTCACGGACAGTGCTTTTTTTTTTTTTTAACCACCACGACATCCGGGACTTTTTTTACTGATCCAAAACCATGCTGTGCGCCCAAAAAAAAAGGAAAACAACCGGTGTTGGCCGCTAGGCTACCAGAGTGGCCCGGGACCACTTGCCCGGCCGGGCCAAAAAAAAATTACAAATTAAAACTGAAAAAATATTTCTTAACTTCATTTTACTTCATTTTTTATCTATTTTTTTGGTAAAGAATTTCGATGTGACCCTGAGGCAAAAGTTAGTCATTGGATTTTTCTGCATAACATAGTTTTTAAAGTTTTTTTTTCAGATTTTTTTTTTTTTTTGTTGCTAGGACCTACTTTCGCCCTTCCAGGGGCCTGGACCCACTAGCAAGGTATTCTACCACGCCGTTCAGGATTTCGATCACGTGTGGCATCGAGTGACTCAGTACGGCCGTCGAATAGATCGGATCTCGACGGCCTGGTAGTTTCCGAGGGGGGACTGTAAAGATGCCCACCTCCCGTCCAATGAGATGCATCGAAAGGAAAAAAAAAAACGAAGTTGGACTAACTTGGACATGATAGCTCGTGGCTTTGCGTGGGCGGGAAGTCAGGATTTTATGGGCTTTAAAGGGGGGGGGGTGATTTCCAGACTTCGTTTTTTTTTTTTTGGCTCTGAGAAATAGAACTTGAAATGTGAAATTCGAATATTGTGGTGCATCTGACAGGAACGCTTCCGCATCTGTCGGATGGCCTGCTAAAGGCATTATGAGATACATCGCGAGGAATGTATCCCAATACCCGTTACTTGTTCATCCTCTGGAATGTGTTCGTGGACACATTTTATTGCCACGGTACATCACTATGAAGACTTACGTGAAGGAGATGGCACCAACCCATGAATTCGGGTGCACAGCTGTTCTTCATAGTTTTATGTGCTATTTCAATTCATTTTAAATCAGAAAACGATCCATTCATGCAAATAAAAAATCACTTTGTATTTTCCAAAAAAACATAAAACTGTGTCACACGTCATAGAATACTTCGCTAGTGGGTCCAGGCCCCAGGGCTGGCATACAAGGTCACCCGGGTGGCCCGGCTGGTAGCCCAGTGTTGGTGTGATTTCTTTTTCTTTTTGGCTGGCGGGACAAGCCATTTTGGTCCAGTAGCTCCATGCCCCTGAGTTTTACGGATGTGTACATTGAACTACATTCACACTTCTTTTTTTTTTGTCTGGGGCACGAAGTGGTGGTTTAGGACTCATCCTTTTGGATAAGGATGGTGGTCACTGTAATCGTGTGTACTGCCATAGCCATGAGTATTACAGCCTTTTTTAAATTCAATAGGCAATTAGCCTTTTTGGAATTCAATAGGCAATGTATAGTAAGAGTCTGACTAACTGCCTTTCCATGTCCGTTTTTAATACTTTTTATCATGTTTCCTTTTTTTGCAGCTCAATATTTATTTCGGTTCTCTTTCTCACCAGATTTCTCCAAATAGTTCAAGGCGTCGGGGGGTCATTATAGCTGTAGCTCCTATCTGGTGGCATTTTTAGGTCTTTACCTAACTGCTGGATGCCCCACTTGTGCACAGGACCGGTGCAAGTGGCTCGTTTGGAGTTGCGACTGAACTCTGCACACGCCCGTAGTGTATGATTGGAGAAATCCCTGATGTCTTCGAGGGATGGCCCACGTAGGACTCTTAGGACGTACAAATTCGAGAGTGTCCCTCGATCTTCTGGCATCACCTAGAAATATGACACTGCCAGTGAACTCGTCACGAAGCAAAGAGTGATAGCGTCAAGCTGGGTCCCATTGGGACATTTTTGCATCAGGCAGGTGCTTTCCTTTGCTGCTTATTCTTCTTTTTTTTGCTGCTTATTCCGTCCTTTGAAAACTACAAAGGTGATGGCCTTGAGATATCATTATTGAACTGACTGGCCCCGGATAATTCAGAATCCTTTTTATTCTGTTCATGTGACAGTATGTGGATTCGAACTTGGGTCTGTATTCTTGCAGTTCAAAGTGTGTACCGACTGAGCTAGGCCCGCTGCTTATTCCGTCCTATTTGATGAGGTATTCCCTTTTTAGAGGGGTATGCACCCTCCAGTTCATCACTGTGGAAGTTTGAGAAGACCTGGGTGCCCTCACAGCTTTGCGCTCAACTTTTTCACCAAAGTCTTGGGTTCTCTTAACTTCTCTATCATGCGGGGCCATTTTCTGTGGCCAAAATATTCGAATAATAAATGGAAAAGGAATAATCTTCGACGTCATGGGGAGCCATGAGGTTTGTGAGATCGGCTTTAAGGTAATGGCGAATATAGGTCCTACCAAGATTTGTGGACAGGGATGAAGAACCCTGCCC